CTTCCAAAGTCGAGAATCAATTAGGTCCAATTTCATTTAAGATCATTCAGTTGACTCAAATTCTTCACAATCTTTCTTGAAGATCATTTGTTTTCAACAATGTCATCAAACACCTCGGAGAATCTTCAAGTTGTGTCCATGGCTGCCAATTACAACAATCTGTTGTACATGCACCCTTCCGACATGCCGGGGAGCCAAATTGTTAGCCAAATTTTAATAGGAAGTGACAATTACAGTATTTGGAATCAAGCGATGAAAATTGCACTCCTTGCGAAGAACAAGTTAGGGTTCATCAATGGAACACTCCCACGCCCTCTTGATCCGATTCAGGCACAGCAGTGGGATCGTTGTAACGCCATTGTCATGTCTTGGATAATGAATTGCATTTCTAAAGATCTTATGGGCCGAGTCATCTATGGAACCAACACTGCGACTGTTTGGCAAGATTTGCAAGAACATTTGACAAGATCAATGGTTCTCACATATATTCAATCATGAAAGACATTGCTACAATACAACAAGGTTTGTCATCAATTTCAGTTTATTATACGCAATTGAAGCTCCTCTGGGATGAATATTCTTCTATGGTCCCATCGATCACATGTTCTTATTCTTCATCCAAAGTTTATAAAGAGCATGAACAAACTCAGAAAGTAATGCAATTTCTGATGGGTCTAAATGAGGGTTATGCGGCTGTTAGGAGTCAAATTCTTCTAATGAATCCTTTACCAACCATGAATGTTGCTTATGGCATGCTTAGTCAAGAAGAGAAACAGAGGGGTATCACCAATTCCACCACCTCTCAATCAGATACTACTGCATTTTTTACACACAATATTTCTAAAAATCAAGGGAATCCAGGAAGTCACAGTCCGCAATCTAAAAAGAAGGCGATGGAATGTGAATTTTGTCATCTAACAAATCATACCATTGATTTTTGTTGGAAACTTCATGCCTATGCCAAGAACCGCCAGAGAGGCAGAAACAAGAAGCATTTCAACCATAAAACACCGACGGCCAATAATATTGAGCACACAACTGACGAGTTATCTTCAAGTTCAACTAAGAATGCACCAGTGACTACTTCAATTTTTTCTCTAGCCCAATATCAAGAAATTTTGAAGCTGTTAGGCAACGATGGACCTTCACTTACTACTAATGTTGTTCAAGGTGCTCCTGACATTGCTTCCAATGTCATAGGTACTCCTCATTCTTTTATGGTTTCGTTTTTACATAATGCATGGATATTAGATACCGGAGCTAATGATCATATGACATCTGATTTTCACTGCCTGGATAATGTACACCCTTATAATTCCTCCATCAGTCTTACTGTTAAGTCACCAAATGGTATATCTGTCCCAATAACCCATACTGGTGATGTTTGCCTCTCTCCACAACTTAAACTACATAAAGTCCTATTCATACCACAGTTTAGATACAATCTGTTATCTGTTTCTTTTTTTCCAAAATTCTGTTTATTTCAGGACCTATGGAATGGATCAATGATAGCGATTGGTGAAGAGCACAATGGATTGTATTATTTGATTCAGAAACCGAATTGACATTTGTTTTCTCATTTGAATAAAATCATGACTGCTTGTAGTGTTCTTTCCAATACCATATGGCATAATAGGCTAGGTCATGCATCTATTTCGAGAATAAAGTTTATTTCTTCCTTAGATAATTCGTTTGTAAAGGAATCACTTCCTCATTGTAAGGTTTTCCCTTTAGCTAAACAATGCAAAAAACCTTTTTCTTACCGGTCTCTCTATCACTTATACAATTTTTTATCTGGTACATGTTGATATATGGGATCCTTACAAGGAATCCACTCATAATGGTTTCAAATATTTTTAACTCTTGTGGATGACTTTTCTCGTGCCACTTGGACATATCTTATGACTGTTAAGTCGGATACATTACATATATTCAAAAACTTTGTTTCCATGGTTAATAATCAGTTTTCTGTCAACATTAAAAAGATTAGGATTGATAATGGTACTGAATTCTTCAGTACTGACTTCACAAATTTTTTGAATTCCAATGGAATTATTCATGAGAGTTCATATCCTTACACACCTCAACAAAACGGAATTGTAGAAAGAAAGCATAGACACATCATGACTATAGCTAGAGCTTTACGATTCCAATCTCATGTTCCAATCACTTTTTGGGGGGAATGTATTTTGACTACCACTTATATTCTAAATAGAATTCCTACTCCCCTTTTACAGGGTAAGTCACCATTTGAAATGTTGTTTAAAACACCTCCCACACTTTCCCATCTTAGAGTCTTTTATTGCCTTTGTTATGCAAATATACTGCCCCAAGTGGACAAGTTTGGTCCAAGAGCAGTTCCTTGCATTTTTTTAGGCTATCCTGCCTTCCAAAAGGGTTACAAAGTATTTGACATTCAATCTCAAAGGTTTTTTGTTAGTAGGGATGTCACATTTCATGAGACTATTTTTCCATATGCTGACCATAACATCACATCTCATGCATCACCATTATTCCCTTCCACCACACAATTTCATGATGAATCAGACTTTTTACTTTCTGACAATCCAATGGCAGTTCCACATCCAGTTTCTATTTCTGACAATTCCATAGATTCTCTAGTAACAAATTCAAGTAGTAGTCCCATCATAGGAGTTTCACCTATAAAGCCTATTCCAAACATTGTCCGAAGGTCCACAAGACCATCTAAACCACCCGTTTGGCAAAAAGATTATGTTGTCCCTTCTAAATCACAATACTCGATTTCTAATTTCATTTCATATTAGAATTTGTCGCCTAGATATCAAAGTCTACTTTCTGCCATATCTCACATATATGAACCGCAAACCTTTAAAGAAGCCATAACTGACCAGAATTGGAGGAATGATATGGATACAAAACTTCAGCCATTAGAATCAAATGAAACATGGCAATTAGTTTCTCTTCCTCCTGGAAAGAAGGCTATTGGGTGTAAATGGGTTTATAAAGTGAAACTTAAGTCAGATGGTAGCATTGAAGGATATAAGGCTCTATTAGTTGCAAAGGGGTATACATAGCAAGAAGGTATTGATTACACCTAGACTTTTTCTTGTGTAGCTAAAATGGTTACAGTTATTACCATTTTAGCACTTGCAGCCATAAATGATTGTGGTCTCTTTCAAATGGATGTATATAATGCCTTCCTTCAAGGAGATTTGAATGAGGAAATATATATGAAGGTTCCTCCAGGTCTGAATAATCAACTTGAGACCAAAAATAAGTTCTGCAAACTATTGAAATCCTTATATGGTCTAAAACAAGCTTCCAGACAATGGCATCACAAGTTTACCACTACACTATTAGAGTATGGTTTCCTATAGTCTAAAAATGACTACTCGTTATTCACTAAGACTCATAGGAGCAGTTTGGTGATCTTTTTAGTGTATGTTGATGACATACTGCTAACAGGTAACAATCTTGCAGCCATTGATGAAGTCAAGTGATATCTCAATGCCAAATTCAGAATCAAGGATTTAGGCATCTTGAGATACTTCCTCGGGATGGAAATTAGTCACTCACGAGCTGGTTTGGTAATAAACGAGCTGGTTTGGTAATAAATCAACGAAAATATGCACTGGGACTTCTTTCTAAAACTGGTTTGCTAGGTTCTAAACCAATTGACACTCCATATGAGCAACACCTCAAATTGATGACTGTTGAATTGGATAAATTAGTTGGCACTTGTACAAATGATCCACTCCCAAAGGATGCTTCTTCCTATCAAAGATTAGTAGGTAAACTCATCTACTTATGTATGACTCGATCAGATATTTGTATTCAGTTCAACATCTAAGTCAGTACATGCATTCAGCTAAGAAATTTCATTTGGAAGCTGCTCTCAGAGTACTACGATACATCAAACAGAGTCCTGGTACTGGCCTTTTTTTTTTTTTTTTTTTTTTTGCAAAGAAGAATTACACCATTGAGGCTTATTGTGATGCTAATTGGGCTGCCTGTCCAATGTCTAGAAGGTCCTTAACAGGTTATTGTATCAAGTTTGGAGAATCTTTAATTTCCTGGAAAACAATCAACTGTTTCCAGATCATCCTGTGAGGCTGAATATAGATCAATGGCGTCCACTTGTTGCAAGAACGTAGATACAAAGTTTGCTCCTTGATTTGGGCATCAAACTTCTGCTACCAACATTATTGTACTATGACAATAAAGCTGCCCTACATATTGCTGCTAATCCAGTATACCATGAATGAACCAAACATGTTGAGATTGACTATCATCTGATCTGGGAAAAGATTGATCGCAAATTAATTAAAACTACATACATCTCTACCAGTGAACAGCCTGCCGATTTGATGGCCAAGGGATTATGCAAGCAACAACATCGCATTCTCATGTCCAAGCTTCGTATGTTTGATGTTCATCAATCATTACCAGCTTGAGGGAGGTATTGGTTATATTAGTGTTTATTACTACCGTAGTTTTTGTTACTGCTGAAGTCCAAGTGTCATATTGTAAATTGTTGTAATTAGTTATTTAAAAGAGTTGTAGTAGTTGTAAAAACAGAGATGAGTTGACCAAATAAATTTTTCCCCAATTCTTTTTCTCTGTCTCGTATCTTCGAACAGTCCCATTGTATGAAAGAATTCGTATGAAAATTTTGTAATATAATATTATTCATTAAATTATTGTAATTAAATATTATGTTATATATATCTTTTCTAATTAAGAGTATATATTAATTATACATGTTACATTAACATTGAATATTATAAATAATATGATAATAAGAGAGCAAAGACAATCAATTTATATATTAATAGATTTAATATATAAAAGAGGAAAAAAAAGATGGTTGGTTAAGCAGACTGCTAAAATTGGGAGGATAGACAAAAGTCAGAGTCCCTGCATGCCTTGTAGGCTGTACAAGCGTCCTCAGAATCTGGGGAACTGAAAACTTTTCATCATTGCTATAACTTTCCTTGTATATAACAACACATCAAACCGTCAATTTACTAAGCTTTCATCAACTTGGTTCTTTCTTCCATTACTGTAACTGTTCCATTGGTTTTAGGTAGCTATGAATGCTCTTGCAGCCACCAACCGCAACTTTCGCCATGCAGCTCGCATTCTTGGCTTGGATTCTAAGCTTGAAAAGAGCCTCTTGATCCCCTTTAGAGAGATCAAAGTAATTACTATTAACATTGATTTTTTCCTAGGCGAAATGAGCATATGTTCTTTCATTTGTTAAACTTTTATTTATGGATTTTTTTTTTCTCCAGGTTGAGTGCACAATTCCTAGAGATGATGGTTCTCTTGTATCCTTCGTTGGATTTAGAATCCAGCATGACAACGCTCGTGGACCGATGAAGGGTGGAATACGCTACCACCCTGAGGTGATACCCCCAAAGTTTTGTTCTTTTATTTTTATGTTATATCATTCGCATGTGCAAGTCAATGAGGCGATGCCATTGATCCTGAATTTGGGTCCTTGAGTTTTGGTTTATTTGACATCTCTAATCAGCTGAAGATACATTTGCATCATATGGCTGTTGAAGTTCCACTTCGGGTTCATATTCTCTGTTTGCGTTTGTTCATTTTGTTCAGATATGGCATGAAAAGTATTTATTTTTTGGTTTATAACTCCATAGATATGAATACACCCTCCTGGGTTCCAAGATAATGATAGAATGATTTTGTTAATCAATAAGATACATTGATCTGGTGAAGAGAATTTTCTAAATTTAATAAATATGTCATATCAGACTGGAACGGTATTCAGTACTTCTCTACTTCTAAATTGAAGAGAATTAGCATAATGTCCCTTGCTGGTTTTTTTTTTTTTTTTTTTTTCATCAAAATTTTATCAAATACTAACTGTTGTATTTTCCTTGTTCAAGGTTGACCCGGATGAGGTAAACGCTTTGGCTCAATTAATGACATGGAAGACAGCTGTAGCTGCCATTCCATATGGCGGAGCAAAGGGAGGGATCGGCTGCAATCCAAGAGAGTTGAGCATAAGCGAGTTAGAACGTCTCACCCGTGTTTTCACTCAAAAGATCCATGATCTTATTGGAATTCATAGGGATGTTCCAGCCCCTGACATGGGGACTAATTCACAGGTATCCACTGAATTAGCTTGTTGCTTCAAAGCGTTGACAACACCAATTTCTATTCATACATTTCTTGCTCTTGATTTGAACAGACAATGGCATGGATCCTGGATGAATACTCAAAATTTAATGGGCACTCACCAGCAGTTGTGACTGGAAAGCCAATTGTAAGCATCCAAAAGCGGTAGAAAGACAAATATGTGATCACTGTATGACTAATAGAAGAAATCGAATAAAATTAACATTTCCTATGCTGAGATGGAATTGCAGGATCTTGGAGGATCACTGGGTCGGGAAGCGGCAACTGGACTGGGAGTGGTCTTTGCAACAGAAGCTTTACTGGCTGAGTATGGAAAATCAATTTCAGAAATGAAGTTTGCTATCCAGGTAGTTTCCTTCTACATATGTGCATATTCGTCCTTTATGGTTGAATTAAATTGTTTTCTCTGTTTACATGACATTCTGCCTCAATATTTGAACTACTATTATTTCAGGGGTTTGGCAATGTGGGTTCCTGGGCAGCAAAGTTCATCCATGAAAAAGGCGGTAAGGTTGTTGCAGTGAGTGACATCACAGGTGCAGTTAAGAATCCAAATGGAATTGATATTCCAGCTCTGATGAAACACAAAGAGGGAACTGAAAGCCTGAAGAATTTTGAAGGTGGGGATGCTATGGATCCAAATGACTTGCTTGTACATGAATGCGACGTTCTGATCCCATGCGCCTTAGGTGGAGTTCTCAACAAGTATGTAGCCTGTTTGGCTAATAACCTCAGAAGTCATGACCTTTATAACTTCTTTCTCCAGCCTTACAGTTAATTCTACTATAATTTTATCACACTCCATAAAAGAATATGTTTAATTATTGTTTAGGACTACAGTTTCTTATTGTATAAAAACCACTAACCTTAATTTAGACTATTACATATATTCTTTCTGTTTTTTGTGTTGTTGAAAGGGGAAATGCTGGTGATGTGAAGGCAAAGTTCATAATAGAAGCAGCCAACCACCCCACTGACCCTGAAGCCGATGAGGTAATAACAAACCTGTGCTTTCTCTAATTGTTTGCTAAATTCACAAACTTAGCCAATAAAATCCATGTTTGTCTTCAGATTTTGTCCAAGAAGGGAGTCCTTGTACTCCCTGACATTTATGCAAATTCCGGTGGTGTGACTGTGAGTTACTTTGAATGGGTTCAGGTACTAGCAACATGTCCTATGCCTACTAATAATTATCTTATTTAATCTTCTAATCTGATCTTTACAATTAAATAACTCTGTATGTCCTAACAGAACATTCAAGGATTCATGTGGGAAGAAGAGAAAGTGAACTGTGAGCTGAAGAGGTACATGATGAAAGCTTTCCTTGACATCAAGGCAATGTGCCAAATTTACAACTGCAACTTGCGGATGGGCGCCTTCACTCTGGGAGTGAACAGAGTTGCGCGTGCTACTCTGCTGAGGGGGTGGGAAGCATGAATGAATCTTCCATTTGATCCTTTCTGTTGTCAAATATAGTTTCTGTTTTAAACTTTATTTTCTTCAGCCACAGAATTCAGTAATGCTTATACTCCAGTTCAAAGTTCAAAAATGCATTTTAAGCTTTAAGGAATAAAAAGGAAAGGAACTAACTAGAATTTTGAAGAACTAAATTTATAGTTTTATGTCTTATTTTCCCGACCTTTTAAGAAGGCAGCTTATTGATTTGGTGGCCAATAGTCTTTGGATAAACAAAAATTAGTAAATTTTACAAAATTATAAGGTTGCTAGGTGTAAATATCTTCATGAAGAGTAAACGAAGTCAATGGCAACAATATCTTCCATTGCACAGAATTCATTAAGGAAAAGATGTTCATAAAATTACATACTAAACTCAGAAGTATGAAATGCGTGAGAGATAGCAACTCAAAGTCTTTATCATTCACTAGCTTAGATAAATTACAGCAATACTAATTGAGAACAAATACTCGAAGTATAAACTGCAATCTGACTACTCCTTTTTGTTACCTCCAGAAGTCTCATCCTGCCAGGTTGCTTGCCATTGTTTGTCATAAAAGGTTGTCTCATCTAGAAGCTTTTTCACAGTTTCAATATCCTCGTTCTTTCTGATTAGAAGCACCCCAACAACAGCAACAAATAATAGAGTCTTGCAAAAGAAGTTGCCCATTTGGTCGACCAAACCTACCCCGGTCAAGCTGTCAACTAGATAAGCCATGAAGAATCCTATCATTGCTGCACGGCCTGTGCCACGCTCAAAAGACAGAATTAGTAGGATTAGCATGTTACAACAAAGTACCATTGTAATTTACATGAAAAAAGGAGGTATAGATTGAACAAACCATTAAGAAGTTCAGCTTCGGGTAGATGGAACCTCTTCATCCATGCCCACCAAGGTATAATTGAGGTGTCAAAAACAACAGGGTCATCATTACTGGATGATTCTGGATTATCCTCAAGCCACTTTCTTCTCCTAACTTCTGAAAAAGATTATCCATGGAGGGGAATTAGAAACCAAGTAATCCCTGAACAATCAGGAAACACATTAAGTTAATTATTAAGAATGATATTTAAATTTTAACAAAATGTCGCCCTTAAAGGAAAAAAAAAAATGAATGATGTACGAAATCATATAAATTTGTAGCTAAATAGCACACCATAAGGTGCTTGATAGATGTATTTTCCTATCACTCACGGAAAAGGTTGAATAAATTAAATGGGCAATAGAACATCTGATGCAAAATGCAACATTTAATTGAATTAAGTGGAGAAAAGGAATATTATATGAATTGGTTGTGAGTTTAGGACTCATGAACTCCCAAGAAAATGAAATCAATCAAATATTAGGTAACATAACATTTGAAAACATATCTATTTTGTGAAACAGAGTGCAGAATAATTAATTGCAGAAAGGGCAAAAGCTTATGAACATATAAATCTGTAATGATATGTGAAGCGATATAAAATCATATCAGATGCAACAGAACACACAAAGATAAATTACAGTTCTTCAGGGCACTTCAATGCCCACACTGCAATCAAAAGACAAAACATGAGCAGTAGATATCCCAATGTTGTGGTTTGAGGACATTTAATCAATCATGAATTTAAAATACCATATACATGTAAATTAGGGATCTCGAGTCAGATGACCAATGATCGCAAACTTGGAATATGAAACTGTCTGGTTAGCATCCATAATCCGCTTATCACCAGCATCGAAGTGGCTGGACATTGGATGTAATTTGGCACTATGTTTAAAACTTTTCAATCCATAATCTTCTTACAGTTCTCTTATAATGTTACTATTGAATACATATAACATTTGATGCCACGGTAAGTAATCAAACAACCAGTAAGCTGCCGGTCTAAATATCCAACCTAGATTGAGTTAGAAGAAAAAGAGAAGAAATCAATATCCCTAACTGAGCTAAGTATAAATTAAGCTTATAAAGAGTTCAGATTTTGTATTTTGAGGACTTGAGTAACCAAAATTTCCAAGATTCAACTCTCTAGTAAGCCTAAAAAAAAATTCCAACAAATTATAACAAACACTAACCTTTGACTAGAAAAAGTGACTGTAAAAAACATATATAAAACACCCATAAACCAGGAACAACAATAAGCAGAAAAAAAACCTAACCAGCATCAATAACAGCATCCCAATTGGTCTGCCCATCTTTTTGAAACTGCTTTAAATCCCAAGTTCCGTTAATCCATTTGGGGTCCCCGAACTTGGTCAAAACCATCACTTCTTCGGGCTCCACAGCTCCATTGGACCCCACGGAGCCCTCTGGAGCTTCGGGGACCTTTGGTTCCTCCACGGTGGCAGCCGGGGCTGAGACTCCAGCTCCATTGTCAGCTGCTGAGGCCCTGAAAGTGAAGAAAGATGGTCTTGTGGAAGTTAGTGAAAGAGTGGGTTTGTGGGTAAAGAAGAAATGAGTTTTGGGGAGAAGAGTAGATGGAGGAGAAGAGAGGGAAAGGAGAGCGATGGATATGGACATGGTGACTTTTGATAGCGAGGCTGAGCCAAAGAGTTTCTCAGAACATGGTGGTAAGCTATCTAGTATCTACAGCCTTACAAACTCTTAACAGTGGTTGGGAGTTCGGATTTTGTACTTTTATGACAATGTAACAATTGTGACTAAAAAATATTTTTTTATTATCAAGCCTAAAGGAATAAAGGATAGATGTATAGTAAAATCCAGGGATGAAATTGTTACTTTCAAAACTATCGGAACAAAAAATTTTGTCAAACCTCATAAAAGTGAGAGTGCGTTATTCCACCGGCTTATAAGAACACTATCCCAAAAAAAAAAAATTAATAAAGATAAGCCAACAAACTCTTCTTTTTAACTTTGCCTAATAAATGCGACTTAATAACCCATAATTGATTAGACGAGAACCACTGTTAAGCAAGCGAAACTCATTGTGAGCTGATCAATTACAAATTGTCACATTGCGTTTGTAAGAGAAAGTTAATAATAAGAGTTTGTGAGTGTAGTATTATCCAAAAAAAATTAGTTTGCCTCCTTACTTCTTTAATTTTAAAAATAAATGATTTTTATACTTCTTAAAATTTGTGAGAAATTGTTTTCAAAATTTTCAAAGACCATTTATTAAAATTTCACCAAATTTGGCCTCATTTTGTTTCCAGACAAGACATAACCTTTAAAATTTAAGATAGATAAAATTTATAAATATATCTTAATACTTTGGGTATCTAAAAATATGTTTGATTTAGGGATGGTAAAATTCCCGTGGGGACGGCCCTGCCCCATTTAGGTCAAGGATTAAGTGTAAACAATCGGGGATGGGCCAAGGATGGCGATTGGTTCAAATCTCGGCCCGGCCCAAAATTCCCAAAAGATTTAAGGGAGCGTTTGGTTCAGAGAATGTTGGATTACTAGAAATGTTGGATTACTGGAAAGTTAGATTACCCTGAAAATTACTGGAAATCTTTAGGAAAATATGTTTGGTTAATTGGTGGGTATGTTATATTAATATGTTTAGTTGAGAGAAATAAATTGGTGAGTATGTTATTTAAATTACTGAATTGTCCTCTAATTAAATATTATTATTATATTATTTTTTAATATTGATTATTATTTGGATTATTAAAACCACCCTGCATTTAAAAACTTAGCAAAAACAACCTCATAATAAAAGTTTAGAAAATCAACAAAGCACCCCCACCAACCCAGCCACTGCCGGCCGCGGCAACCTAATGGCACACGGAAGGCAGGAAATAGCCTCCGTGCGCCGTATGGCCATTTGGCCAGATATCTGGCCAGAAATGGCCATATCGGCACACGAAGGCCATTTTCGGCCTTCCGTGCACTATGCCGGCTGCAGCAGTGGTTGCCAGCGGTAGGCGGCGGCAAGTTGGTCGGGGTGGTGGCTTGGGTGGGCTGCAATTTATTTTGAAGTCAAGGGTAATTTTGTCCAAAAAATAAATTAATTGGGGTGAAATAGTAAAAGCAACATTCATGTAAATAAATTTAAAAATAAGGGCATTATTGTCCTAAAATTTTATTAATAAAGGATAGAATTGTAACAAACAAAATTACCCTGATAATCTTACAATACCTAAGAAAATGGAAGTAATCAAATTACCTCCAATATTACCAATAGTAACTACTATTAGTATTTGAAGATTACCAGAATCTTATATTATTTGACAATCAAACGTGGCAATCAAGTAATATAGGATGACATAACCTTAGTAATCACACATTACCCCCAACCAAACGCCCCCTAAAATGTAAATAAATAGTATATTTTTTATAAAGATTACAAATCAAATTAATTTTTTTTTTTCTATCAATATTATTTGTTTATAGAAAACATATTTGATATTATCTACCTATTATAGTTAAAGAATAAAAATTTTGGGTATAAAAATTTGTTAAAACCATTAATGTCAAATATAAAAAAAACAACTTATAATTTTTTTAAAATACAATTTAGTACATCTAATAATGTTCACGTCATATGCTTAGTTAATATTACTCTATAAAAATAATTAAATAATCAACCCCTCAAATTCCAATTTTGTTGAGAAAAACTCATGTATTTTTTTTTCTATTAGAAGGAATTTAAAATACTTATTTAGCATGTTAACTCAATCCACTACAACAAAAATGGCATACGGTAACACTGAACAGTAACATATTTCCTTAACGTGTATTGTAGACTATCTATGGTAACACTCGATGTTAAAATGTTATGATAACAATTTTTATATATAACACTTTAACTTTTTATGACATATTTTATATCAATGGTAACTCTTTTTTTGAAAACGTTATTAATATATACCTACAGTAATATTTTTAAACTGTTACAATAAACCTAATAATATAGTAATTTTTTTATAATGCTATCATATAATCAAAATACAATAACATTTTAAAAGTGTTACCATAAACCCAATTATTGATCGGGAAAGAATATATTATTCCCGTCAACATGAAATGAGATTGATTTTGTCTCATTTTTTTTGTTTAGGGGTCAAATTATCATATTATTTGAGGTTTACTTTGTCACTTTTCATTCATGTAGGGACCAAACTGATATTTTCTACAAATAGTATAAAAGGAAAATGGAAGGTTGTGCAAAGCCAAAAACATCCACCCATCTTCATCCTTTTTCTCGTGACCATCTAGCTTCCACCTCCAGCGACCATTTTCCTTCTCCAACGCCTAGCCATCATCACCCAAGACCTTCCCGGATTCTGCTGACCATTAAACTTCCTTCATCCGTGACCGTTCATCTTCCCAGTGACTTTTCTCCGTTTTCCAACTACTTCTAGACATCCTTGGGCCTGGCCCATACTCCTTAATGTCAGATCCACCTTCCCCAAGCTTGGTTGGCTCAAAATCTCGCTAGAAAAAGTCATTTCACCACTGTGACTCTTCACCTTCCTGGTGTGATTTCACTCACTTTTTGGTGTTGTTTCGTCTCCAAAGTCACATATTTAGACTCCTCATGACCTAATATACCTCTCACGAAGTTTTGGAGCATTTTTGTCACTGGCTGCCGCCGCCGTCGTCGCCTACGACCGTTCAACTTCCAGTGTTCGTTGGTCTTCTTTCCACCACAACTTAGTCCATCTTGTTGCCGGTTACTCATTTCCACCATAATCAGCCTCATTTTGTCTTCGGAGAGTAAGAATTTAATGTTTTTCGAATATATGTTTACAACAAATTATTACGCTAACTCTAGGATTACTATATTGAGCAGATTGATGCCCTTATATAGTCCATAAATTTAACATCTTTTAGGAAAAATAGTGTAGATAGTAAAAATCTACGATTACGGAACGAACTGATCCTGTGAGGGCCACTGACGATCTACTAGACCTGCACAGACGAAGAAGGTAAGCACAAAGCTCACGTGGTACTCCGATCTGTGATTTTTACTGTCTACAAATAGCATGTGCAGTTGGCAGTCAAGTTTCATGTTTATGGTTTGTTGTATGAACCTTAATTTGGTCATTTGCTTAGAGTATAACATATGTTCTTATTGAGAAGCCTGGATTGATGTTGTGTGTTTGTTTGGCGGCACATGAGAAAAAATAATTACATTAAGATAAGGAAAAGATAAGTTTTTTTTATTAGGGTTTGCGATTTGGGAGTAAGATTTTTGAAATGGTGTGCTATGTTTACATCATAGCTTATAGTGATTGTGATCGTGATTGTGATGCATTTTTTTAAACATGATTGTGATAGTTGTTTATAATTGAAGGGACGAGGATATATTTTAAAGTTTACATATTAGTTATTTGTTTTGTTTATGATAAAAATTGAGATCTATGACTTTAATTACATATATGTTTAATTTTTGTTCCTTCAATTTGGTTTTGAGAAAGATGACGAAAAAGAACTAAAGTAAAAAGAAGTAAATATGATGTGCAGTTGATAGTGAAGTTTCATGCGTATAGTTTGTAGTGTGAACCTAATTTTGGTATTTTGCTTAGAGTTTCAATTTGGTCATGTCAAGACAAACATTTCAGCAAAATAGTGATGAATAAAGATTGGGTGCATCTGAACAGGTAAGAAAAATATCAAAAGACACACCTTAAGTGTAAGAAGTAATAATGATTTTCCTTAACAAGATTTTAGAAATTTTTTTTTTTTTTTTTTTTTGATTGAGCTACGGATGCATACATTGTAACGCCCAACATGGAGGTACGTGATTTAATTTATGTTTTATAACCCTTAGTTGATTTTTGTTAAAGTTATTTTAAGAGAATATGAAGAAAATATATTAAACTTGCATTAAGGGTAAAATGGTCTTTTCACTCAAAACTAGTCGAAGTTGTGGGGAGTGAAAAGAGACAGAATTTCATAGAGAACACAATAAAAATGAGGGCATTATGGTAATTGACTAAGGGACAAAGATGAAATTTCTAAGAAAGAGTAAGGGTAAAATGGGAAAGTGTGTTTATAAAATAAAATATTAAGGGTTTGAAACCCTTATTTCTCTCATTCCACCGCCACTCTCCTTCTCCATTTTCTCTCAATTTTTCACTCAATTCTCTAAGGGTTTTGAGTGGATTTTTATAGGGTTTTGATTCTAGGCAACAAGAGGTAAGAATTTTTGCTCTTTATTTATGATTTATTTGTGTAGAAATTGAATTCTTATTAAGTTTATGCTTAGGGTTAAGAGGAAATTTGAGTTCAAAAAGAGTAGAGAGTTTTAGTGGAGACTACTCAAGTATAAGGTAAGTAAATTTCACTCAAAATCCAACTTAAGTTAAAGTTTATCAATTGTGTAGAGATTTCTTCCAAACATGTATATGTTATGATTATTGGGAAATTGAGATAAGATTGATGATTATTTATGCTTGTTGTTGGATATATTTGAGTATGAGAAGTGTATGTGATTGTTGTATGATGGGTTGAAATTGGAAGAATATGAAAAAACTTTTGGGAGTGTTTTTGCCGTGTAGGTATGGTGATGATACAAGAGAGTTTTTCTCTCATTTTGGATGGTTTAAGAAATAAATAGTATGATAATTAAAGTAGGGTTTGTTTATGCACATTTATTGTTTGAATAAATGCCTAAGAGAAGCATGGGTATGAGTAGAAACCTTAATTTTATGCAACATTGCATATTTGCATTTCATGAGTGCATTTAAGTAAGAATTCTAAGCATGAACCATCCATATGCATATATTTGTGTACGTATAATAACTTAAGAAAGAATAAAGAATATTAAGAATAAAACAGTCTAAGAATAAAGAGAAAGAAAGAATAAGCATTAAAGAATTAAAGAAAGAAAAAGCGTTAAAGAAGAAAAAAAAAAATAGGTTGCTGTAATGGGGCACCGTGAGTGTTAAGAAAAAATTCCCACATACACGCCACCTTAATTGAGTGGCATAAGAAGAAGAAGAGTTGTACGACCCGTAAGAGTGTATGTGGATGAGGATTGTACCAAGAAGAATTCCTACATGCACGCCACCTTAATTGAGTGGCCTAAGAAGAAAGAATAATTTGTACGGTCTGCAAGAGTGCCTGTAGATGAGGACTGTACTCACTCACACGGCCAAGGTTCCAAATCCATACATTAATCGAGTCCGATCGGCAAAGAATAAGAAAAGAAAGAATAAGAATAAGAAAAGAAAAAATGGGAAAGAATAAGAATTAGAAAGAATGAGAAGGCTTGAACAAGCAAAGAAAAGAAAAACAAGAAAGAAAAGAGAAGCTTGAGCAAGCAAGACAAGAAAGAAAAGAAAAGAAATAGAAAGAAGAAAGAAAATGCATTTTTATGCATTATTGCATATGCATTTCATTCATGCATATTACCATGAATTTCATCATGGTTAGAAAGAATAGAAAGAAAGAACAGAGAGAAAGGAAAGAACAGTGAGAATTAGAAACAGAGGAAGAAAAGAGAAAGAATTAAGAAAAAAAGAAAGAAGAAGAGAATTAAGTAGGGAAAGAACCAAAGAAGGAGAAGAGTTAAGGGATTTACTTACTGAGCATTTTTATGCTCACCCTGTTATTTTTCCATGTTTTTGCAAGAAATAAGTGAGCAGTGGTCGGAAGGACGTCGACAAGCGGAAAGAATTGGCATTACTGTCCACCATTGCTAAGTTTTTGTACTTGTTATTTTGCTATAAGTAAAGACAAATTTGGACCCAACTATTTTCATATGCTAAGTATGTATGTTTTTATTGTATATATTCTAAAGTATACTAGTAGAAAGAAATCATTACATACATGCAAGATGCATGGAACTTTGTCAATTTGGCTGAAAAGAATGTAGGCTATCAAGAGAAGCACTTGTTCCAAGTTGGCTTGATTGGAGAGGGTCTAATGAAGTAGTAGCTGAAGGACGCTTTTCATCAGATGATCCAGAAACACTTGTTCATCATGTTCCTATTGAACCTAATGCTATGAGAGTTTGGATTGATATGGCCAAGGTACCTAATGCGCTTTTGTGGAGGCCTACATCCAAAATGGTTTCTGTGAAGACGCTATGGGTAGTATAGTTGCTTGGCCTGTTGACAAAGTTGTCCTATCTTTTCCAAAACAATTTTAGGCAACTTCTTCTCCATTATATCGTCTCTTTTAGGTTTCATCTATTGTAACATATATTATAATGATATAATTTGAAGATAAGATTTAGAAATATATCATATTGATATATCTTTTAAACTTGCATGCTACCATTTTTTAAAACTAGTGATTGTGAAGTTGGAGATTTAAATATATTTTTTTCCTCTTTGTTTTGCATTTAATATTTGAGGTGCTTTTGTCTTCATCTTTTCTTGAATTTAAATATATGTGTTGTCATCTTTGAAAATATACATAGGAATTGAAGATATCTTTTGTATTAATGGTTTTGTAGGTTGTGAAAATGCAAGAGTATTTTTTTGGTGAAGCACAATTGGGAATGGAAGATGATATGCATGGTGATTTTTGTTGTTAGAATTTTTTGAATGATTGGAAAGTATTAACTATTGTTCATAGTTACTTTTCCAATCATCTAAATATTAGATTTTATGGATGTAAAGGATGTTGGGTGCCTATTTACTAGGCATATATGCAAACTTTTTGTATATAAAGGTTCACTATCAATTAAATGTTCTTTGAAAAATTAGTATATCATTGTTTATAATTTATATTATTAAAGTAATAACTGTGACAGTTTTTATATATGTTAATGGAAAATAATTTTGTAATATTTACAAAATGCAATGAATACCTATCTACAGCACTTTTTAAAACTTTGATGGCACTTTTAATATGTTATTAAGAACTCTTCTATAACATTTTAACAATGTTAAGAAAAATTGATCTACAACATTGTAAAAAAAAAATTGTTATAAATTTGTTATCTATAACATTTTAAGAATGTTGCAAAAAAACTAAACTATAACAAATTAAGAATGTTATGAAAAATTTATTTATAGCATTAATACAATGTAACTTAATAAGTGTTTTAATATGCTTAACAATATCATTTTATTACACTTATTGAAAGTTTATTTATAACTAATTATCAATAAGTATAACAAAATAATTAGTTAACATGCAAAAAGTATTGTCAATATCTATTTTTTTAGTAACATGAGCTATAACAGCATGCTTATAAATGTTACTGTTTACCTATTATAATACTTTTTGCATATTACCATAGATCATTTTTGTTATTGTGGTCTTAACAATAATAAACATTCATTAAAAAAAAAAAATATATATTAATATAATTTATACTGAACAAAAAAAAGGAATTGAGGAATTTGGGGTTGGCCGAAGCGAGAATCGACTTTAGTTTCGGGAATCGCAAGCCCAATCCCCGGCCAGTTCTCATCCCTGATTTATATTGAAGAAGTGGTGTGGAATTATTAATGCCCTACTTTTTATCTTATTAAGTCCTACTTCAATATGCAATCATAATTTTTTTTTTTTTTAATGACAACTAATATCTAAATAAACTCCACTCATATTTATATTTTCATTTCTCCTCTCACACTTCTCTCCATCATCTTGCATATTATTAAACACTTGTAATCATTCCATTGGCATGAAAATGCATATAACATAATTATCGTCTAATATTTATGTTGTGCTTAATGTCAGGTTATTCTAGAATTCTAGGATAATCCTCACCCAAAAAGGCAGCAGTGTAGGATTAGGATTCTACTGCTTGTACACTTAATAGGAGTAAAATTCTATTGTTTGTACAATTAATCCTAACCATCCATCTTAAGAATATGTATGGATATAGACCGTTGGATCTACTTGTAAAATACTATATAAAAACTAGTGAGGTTTAGGGTTTATTCATTCTAATCAATTGAGAGCAATAAAATAATATAGTTTTTTCTCTCTATCTCTGTTCTTCGTTCCTCCATTAAATCGGGAAATCATCAGTTTGAGCAAGCCAAAGTGATGAGGTGTTTAAGATGCAAAAACAAACTTTGGAATATTAAGTGTATTAATGACTAATAAATCTATTCTTCCTAATAATATGAATCGACTTATTAATCATTCATAAGTAAACACATCATTCGAAGGGTAACACACTAATCAAGATACCGGGTGGCACAGACGGAAGAATTGATAGAGTTGTCGTGTAGAAGATTTTATTAATAAACCCTAACAGCACAGCTTAAAAGAAGCTGGATAATTAATACATTTGCTGAAAAATATGATAGTTTAACAAATATTATTGTTACAGGTGATGATCAATAGTAAAGGCGCGCCATGACGCAACAAGTTAAATTTTGTTTAGTAGTCGATGCCGCAAATCTGCCGATGACTTCTGAGAAACCTCACTAGCCCTTTTAGCTTCAAAGCTCTACGTATTGCTTGCAATGGAAGCCAAAGTACCAAAATAATTGAAATCCCAAATATTATCAGCAAAACTAAATTCAAACCCTGCGTCACCTCTCCTGGAAAAGTGGTAGCCACTGAAACATAATACGCCAACAACAGACAACATGTTGATGTGCAAAGTATCGGCGAATAAGGCAGCCCGATGATGACTATCACAATTGTGCACACAGTTGTATAAAACGCTAAGCTATTTAAAACAAAGAAAATAGTCAGAAATATCGGATTCATTATCATCTCTCCAGCATGGTGCCCCTTTTTCCCATGACCTTTGCCAATTGTATTATTTTGATCATTAGTAGCTCTGTTATTTGTTGTTGGACTGTATTCATCTTGCCAAGCTCCCCCCGGCGGACTCAGTCCAGCTTGGTAGGCGGCGGTGGCAATCAAAATAGCCACCACAAGTATGACGTTCCGGACATCACTAGGCGATAATTTTAGGCTTTTCCCCATTATTCCCAAGTATTTCTCCCGTTCTTCAGTAAATGATAAATCCCTACCCATTTTGCGTGCAAGTGTGGCGTTGGATCCGCTGCATCATGTGAAAAACCTGATACGGCCTTAGCACGACGTAGAAGACGCTCCGTCTTTTTTTTCAACGAATCTTCTTCACTGCAGGAGATTTCCATAGCTGTCAAACCGCTCAAGTTCCTGGTACTCACGTTGACTCCAGTTCTTAACAAGTACTTCACTATCTGTGTATATGCATGATTCATCGAAGAAAAATTTTCATTTATTAAATCATTATCACAATTATCAAACGAAAGAGAAATATAGATTTTAACATACTGTGCTGCCTTTTTTTTTTTTTTTTTGTGAAATAAATTATTGTAATTTAAAAGTAAAATTTCAACACTCATAGAGAACCGGCCAAAATTAATCTAATTTTAGAGGGAAAATTACGGTGGAGGTGGCTGGGTGTTATCATCGCCGGCGGCGAGGATTGGTCGGATGAAGCCCAGCACTGCACCTTACGCTGGCGCAGCGTGGCCGGGCTTCGCGGCCTTCCACCGGCGACCTACATGGTTGGGATTCGTTGCCTATTTCGTCGGCCAACACCATATCCCGTCCTACATCAGCGAGCGCGACAGCATAACCACCATAACCCTTACAATCACCACCACCACATAACCAAAATGTGCACCACACAATTAGATAACAAATTCCTTTGTTTTCAATTACTTACATTTGTTGGATAACAACAACAGTTTTGTTTTAATTTTATTTTTTAATTACTTAAATTTGTCATATTTGACTCTACTTTGAGTTGGTGTCAAGGAAATTAACGGTCCGGTGGAAAGAAGGGCAGGTGAAAGATGGTGGAAAGAAGGGAGAAATGAGAAAAATTATTTTAAATTTTAAATTTTAAAATTATAAAAAAAAAAAAAATCAATATTAAAACGATAAGTGGGTTGTGGCAGGGGTATTTTAGATCATCAAATGCAACTTTAATAAATTTAAAATTTCAAGAGCAGAGATACGAGGGTTTAAAAATATTACCTCAGGCTGATTTGTAGAAGTTGCAATATGCAAGGCAGTGTTGCCATCCTCGTCAGTAAAATTCATGATATCTTCCATGTTGTTTCGGCGAAGAAACCCCAACAACACTCTAAAAGCATCAACATTTTTGTTTTTGATAGCTAAATGCACAGTGGTTTCACATCGTATGGTGACATCATGAATAGATGACGGGCAAACAGTCAAAAATTCAGCCAAAAGATCGGCATTATTGGTCTGAGCCACATAGTGCAAAGGCGTAATCCTCTCCTTCGCTTTGACACGGACGAGCTCACTCTCAGTTTTTATAAACCCTCTCACCAGTTGATCGTTCCCATGTTCCAGAGCTAGGTGTAGGGGACTAAACCCAAGATGGTTTAGCTTCCAAGCAAGTGAGGGCTTTAAGCTAGCAATTTCCAAGGCTAAATGGGTGTTTCCAGAACTTGCGGCTCTGTGTATAGGAGTATCAACGATTGGTATTTGATCTAATCGCTCAAGAACATATGGATCCTCTCCAAGTATTGAATATAATGTCTCAACATCTCCATGTTCAGCACAATTCATCAACTTCTCATTCATTCTTGAATGGGGGATATAATAGAAACCTCTATTGAATTTACATTTTGTTGCATAAGTTTATTATAAGAAGATGGATCTGTATGAAAAAGTTTATATTATATATAAATTTATTTGTCTAAAATGTAAGTTTAGTATTATTCCTTAACCAAAGGCAAGCAAAACCTTTATTCTTGTCTCTCATGTAGAAATACCTTCTCATGCAAAAATGATAGGACTTTAATTTAGTTTATGAAATGAATGACAAAAAGAGAAACTCTTAGAGGATCCTTTTGGCTTCTTTTTTCATGAGTCACTACATATTAATATTTTAAAGGGTTCTTAAAAAATAACTAAGACGGCGAGCGGCTATGAATATTGACCAGAACTTTGAATGCCTTACATTTAAGTCCATTTGAAAGCCACTATTCCAAATATACCCCTCATATAAACTGCAATGGGGAGGAAGGTAAGTGAGATTTCGATTTTATTATGCGGATTATTTTGTCCATTTGTTTCATTTTTTTCCACTATTCCATCCTATTATCCTATCCAAATAGACATTTGTTTTAACATTCTCAATTCTCTTCAAAATTCAATCATATTATATTCAACTTAAAACATTAACAATTACCTTTCTCAGTAAAAGTTTTAAAATTAACAAAACACCCCAACCATCAAGCCACTATCACTCGCCAGCAACCACCGCCACCGTTGGCCGCCAACGTTGTAACGACGCATGATCGACTGGATCTAGCTTGTCATACGTCAATCTGTCTGTTTCCGACTAAATCCACCATGGATCTGACTAGAAATGGCCAGATCTACGTCCAAAGATTTGATCATTGACGACGGCTAGATCCACGGTGGATCTTGCTGAAAAAATCCAAATCTGTGCACAACCGGTCGTACACCATTCCGACAGATTCTGACCACCTTCTAATGATGGTAGCCAGTTGTCGGCAATATGTGAGTGGATGAGGGTGTTTTTTGTTAGTGTATGCCCTAGGAACCAATTGTGTCGTCAGTTCCAAGGTATTATGTTTTGTATATATATGTTAATGTATATATTTTGTATATACATTTTATCTTATTAATAGAAGAAACTGTTTTTATTTCACATGTGTTTTATTGCTTCATTTATATATATGTATTACATGTGAAATGTTCGGATAATACAAATCTTTAAAAGATCAAAATCATCAAAGCATCCCCTACATAGGTAATATTAATTAGGCAATAATATTACATAGTAGGCATGCTGAATGCCTCCGTAGAATATCATGTAATGGTATTAGTATGGGTGATTATAAAAATTATATCACTAGGGCATTAGCATGAATAAGAGGTTAGTGAACTGTTTATCGAATATGACCATTTATGATGAATCACACTGACATTTAAAATGTAGTCAATGATTTATCATAAGATCGTACTAATATATTATTAATCCTTAGACCTGAGATATCACGGTTGAATTCTGTATAAACGCATATGATTCATATGATGTATAAACACGAGGCTAATCATGTCATGTGTTAATAAGCCGATTTAGCCATGTTTTGTTTATGTGTGAGGACAAGTGATAGTCAAGATGGGATTCGTTGACTTGGTATAGATTGATATCAAGTTCCTAGAAAAATGTCAAGATTCAATTGGAAAAGAGAAATCTTCGGCCGGGGTATATAAAATGTTACTTGAAAGGTTGTTTCTTGGTGACACGTTCCATATGTATTGATTATCAATTTGATATAAAATTAAGATAAAGATTTTGACATACTATGAATCCATTCTTAATTGGGATTAGACAACGGAAGGATTTGATTATACAACGGAATGATTTGATTATACAACGTATATGATTATAAAAGGGTTCATTGGAGTATATCTTCATTGTGACTTAGGGGTTACGGAGCATTGCTAGATGCTTACCACAATCAGTGAGAGTTTTATTTATAAAGATTTATGACAAAACATATCGAAATAGACTGTGATATTGGGCTCACGGCTAGACCACAGTGAACCTAAGAGGTCACACATAAAAACTAAGGAGAATGAAAAATAGCCAAAGAGAGTTGATTATCCAAGGTTAACTAGTACCTACCAAGGGTGATAAAGTTATTTATATTATTATCATTGAATTAGATTCAATACAGGGTTATATTAATTATTATGAATAATTTAAGAATTCAATTGCTAATTGGAATTCAATGGAATTCCAATTCATAATTAATCATTTTCTTTATATGAAATTGGATTTAATAATCGGTTGTTGTAATTGTAAACATATGAACAATTTAAGGGTTAAATTGTTATGTAAACAATTTAAGAGTTAAATTGTTAATTGTGATTAAATATTAATCCAATGTTATTATTTAAAGAAGTTTAACAACTTCATAATAATTATGGAATTGTTTACAAAGCTTCATATATAAAGAAAATGATATATCAATTTTAGGGTAGAGATCAAAATCTCTAAGAACCCTAAATCTCTCTCTTGGCCTAATTCTTCTTCTACCTTGGTATGGATACTCTTTTGTTTAATTTCTCTTAAAACTAAAAGTCTCCAAGGTTGACGAAGTTTTTGGAGCATTTTGTCACTGGCTATCGCCGTCGTTGCCCATGACTGTTCAACTTCCAGTGTCCGTTGGTCTTCTTTCCACCACGACTTAGTCCATCTTGTTGCCGGTTACTCATTTCCACCTAATCAGCCTCATTTGTCTTCGACGAGTAAGAATTTAAAATGTTTTTTGAATATAGTTTACAACAAATTATTACGCTAACTCTAGGATTACTATATGAGCAGATTGATGCCCTTATATGGTCCATAAATTTAACATCTTTTAGGAAAAATAGTGTAGATAGTGAAAATCTACGATTACGGAACGACTGATCCTGTGAGGGCCACTGACGATCTACTAACCTGCACAGACGAAGAAGGTAAGCACAAAGCTCACGTGGTACTCCGATCTGTGATTTTTCCTGTCTACAAATAGCATGTGCATTTGGCGTCAAGTTTCATGTTTATGGTTTGTTGTATGAACCTTAATTTGGTCATTTGCTTAGAGTATAACATATGTTCTTATTGAGAAGCCTGGATTGATGTTGTGTGTTTGTTTGGCGGCACATGAAAAAAAATAATTACATTAAGATAAGGAAAAGATAAGTTTTTTTTATTAGGGTTTGCGATTTGGAGTAAGATTTTTGAAATGGTGTGCTATTTTACATCATAGCTTATAGTGATTGTGATCGTGATTGTGATGCATTTTTTAAACATGATTGTGAAGTGTTTATAATTGAAGGGACGAGGTATATTTTAAAGTTTACATATTAGTTATTTGTTTTGTTTATGATAAAAATTGAGATCTATGACTTTAATTACATTATGTTTAATTTTGTGTCCTTCAATTTGGTTTTGAGAAAGATGACGAAAAAGAACTAAAGTAAAAGATGTAATATGATATGCAGTTGATAGTGAAGTTTCATGCGTATAGTTTGTAGTGTGAACCTAATTTTGGTATTTTGCTTAGAGTTTCAATTTGGTCATGTCAAGAACAAACATTTCAGCAAAATAGTGATGAATAAAGATTGGTGCATCTGAACAGGTAAGAAAAATATCAAAAGACACACCTAAGTGTAAGAAGTAATAATGATTTTCCTTAACAAGATTTTAGAAATTTTTTTTTTTTTTTTTTTTTTTTGATTGAGCTACGGATGCATACATTGTAACGCCACATGGAGGTACGTGATTAATTTATGTTTTATAACCCTTAGTTTGATTTTGTTAAAGTTATTTTAAGGATAGAGAAAATATATTAAACTTGCATTAAGGGTAAAATGGTCTTTTCACTCAAAATAGTCGAGTTGTGGGGAGTGAAAAGACAGAATTCACTAGAGAACACAATAAAATGAGGGCATTATGGTAATTGACTAAGGGACAAAGATGAAATTTCTAAGAAGAGTAAGGGTAAATGGAAAGTGTGTTTATAAAATAAATATTAAGGGTTTGAACCCTTATTTCTCTCATTCCCACCGCCCACTCTCCTTCTCCATTTTCTCTCAATTTTTCACTCAATTCTCTAAGGGTTTTGAGTGGATTTTATAGGGTTTTGATTCTACAACAAGAGGTAGAATTTTTGCTCTTTATTTATGATTTATTTGTGTAGAAATTGAATTCTTATTAAGTTTATGCTTAGGGTTAGAGGAAATTTGAGTTCAAAAAGAGTAGAGAGTTTTGGTGGAACTACTCAAGTATAAGGTAAGTAATTTCACTCAAAATCCAACTTAAGTTAAGTTTATCAATTGTGTAGAGATTTCTTCCAAACATTATATGTTATGATTATTGGGAAATTGAGATAAGATTGATGATTTTTATGCTTGTTGTTGGATATATTTGAGTATGAAAGTGTATGTGATTGTTGTATGATGGGTTGAAATTGGAAGAATATGAAAAAACTTTTGGAGTGTTTTTGCCGTGTAGGTATGGTGATGATACAAGAGAGTTTTTCTCTCATTTTGGATGTTTTAAGAAATAAATTATTATATTAAAGTAGGTTTTGTTTATGCACATTTATTGTTTGAATAATGCCTAAGAGAAGCATGGGTATGAGTAGAAACCTTTTTTATGCAACATTGCATATTTGCATTTCATGAGTGCATTTAAGTAAGAATTCTAAGCATGACCATCCATATGCATAATTGTGGTACGTATAATAACTTAAGAAAGAATAAAGAATATTAAGAATAAAACAGTCTAAGAATAAGAGAAAGAAAGAATAACATTAAAGAATTAAAGAAAGAAAAAGCGTTAAGAAAGAAAAAAAAAATAGGTTGCTGTAATGGGGCACCGTGAGGTTAAGAAAAAATTCCCACATACACGCCACCTTAATTGAGTGGCATAGAAGAAGAAGAGTTGTACGACCCGAAGAGTGTATGGGGATGAGGATTGTACCAGAAGAATTCCTACATGCACGCCACCATTATTGGTGGCCTAAAAGAAAGAATAATTGTACGGTCTGCAAGAG